CGTCACGCTAGTTAGATATAACGGATTAATAAATATGTTGTAGAATACATGGAAAACATAATTATTCCTCAGATTTTTGGTTTGTATTTTCAAAATGATATAGTTTAAATGAAATATACATAATATACAGTTAATAACTACAACATATATACCTATTTATAGTAATAAATGCTTTGGCAAATAAACTATGAACCATACAAATGCATAAAATGTTTTACAATGTACAAATAATGTATAGGTACATAAGATAATGGGTAAAATGTAAATATATTTTAAATTTTGGGGTTTGAAAATCGATCTAATTTAACAAAAAACATTTAATATCTACTAATAGTGATGTATTATTATTTGCATTCACAAAATTTATATGTATATTTTGCAAGTATCAATGTTCGAAAAATTATATTTACAAATAATACAATATTATCTAAAAAAGGCGTCAGCGATGGCTATGAAATGAAGATCGCTGGCATTTTATATGTTAAATTATTCTAAAATTTTTGATTTTCTTGGGATTTTTAGGTTCGGGAAAAACGCTGATTAAGTTTTCATTTGGGTTTTCATTATTTTTATTTGGTTAAAAAAGTTTCGGCTAACTATAGCCTTCACAGTGTTGTGTCATATGAGAAAAATAGTGTCGAATATAATCCAAAAAATTACATATACAATATAATTCACACCTCATAATGTTTACTGCAATTAATAAACTAATATAAACTTATCAAAAGACGACCACATATTTTTTAAAATTATTATTCTTAACACTAAAATTATCTACATTGACTATGGAGTACGCAGTAAACATTATGTGCGTGGTGTGAATATTTTATATGCAATTTTTTTGGATTATATTCGACACTATTTTTTTCATATACAACACACTTGAATATTTTTTGGATTATATTCGACACTATTTTTTTTCATATTTTCACACAACACTGATGGAGGCTATAATGTTAGCCGAACCGTTTTTTTTTTAAACCAAATAAAAATAATGAAAAACCAAATGAAAAATCAATCAGCGTTTTTCCCGAACCTAAATTCGAAGAAAATCAAAAAATTTAGAATATTTAGAATCAAGGTTCAAGAATATCAAATTTTCCAAGATTGTAAAATTCTAGTTAATTATTTTATGTGTACAGTTATTTAGGGAATGTCATCGATGTTTATTTCCAAGCCAACTAGACGCCGATTTTTTCGATGATACGGTATAATTCTTACGTAAAATGTAAATAACATTAGACCAATTAAAACAAAGAAATATGAATTTCTTAGTATTTTTAGTAACACCTTTATTCTTAAAACTTAATTTTGTATTATGCAAATATACCAATTTTATTGTTATTTTATTCATATTGTATTCAGCCATCACTTAAATATTTGATATTAATTTGGTATTATAAATAATCAATACTATTCATTAAAAATTACTGAACAAATATATGTTATGCTTAACATACATTATATATTATCAAACAAAAACACATTCTTCTTTTTTAAACTGTATCAGTCTTGTCTTTACAAAAATCTCTTTTAAAATTTGAACTCAAAATAATAATCTTTTTTCATGATCTCTAATACACATATTCTTTATTTTTCCCTAGATCATAATACCTACTTACGTGTTTGAATCTATCGAAGCTGAACCAGCAACACTTGGAGTGGAGATTCCACAATATGAATAAAATAAACATAATTGTCCAGATTTCATTAATACCATCATGGGAGAATATTATTTTTAAATTTATTAAAGATATTTTCAATAAAATTCTCTTGATTTATAACTCGTACCCACTTTTCTTGCTCTTCCGGACACTTTAGGCTGCCTAGTATAATAACTATCCTTAGTAACTATCCTTTCCACCAGGAACACAACAAAGATGAGGCATAGCACCAATAACACACTCCACTTAAGCTTTATTGATGAATTGTTAGAGTCTTAAAAACACACACAAAAATCACGATAAGAAAAAAAAATGTATGGGCACTTTTAGGTTAAATCACTTGCACAACGTGTAATTTTTAAAATTTCTATTTTTTATGCGAAACCGAGAGTGACCATATATCTGGTAGTAGTTTATGTCACTTCAACACCAAAATAATTAGTTTTTTGCACTACAATAATAAATAATACCAAAAATCAAAGAGTTAAAACCAAAAATCAACCGACAAAATATGAAACGGAATCTAACCCAATATCTAAGTATGTACAGCTGATGAAGTAAACAAAAGTCCGCCCGTGGGCTGATCTTTTAATAGAAGGCACTGATTTAGATTATTTTATAAAAGATGTAATACATAAAAGTATTCCCCTATTATTGTATATAATATCTTTAAGAAAAACCAAATCAAATGCACTACTAATATTCTTTAGAAAATTGAGTGATTATTATATATTCACTAATATAAGGCTTTTATTTCTAAAATACTATATACATCAAGGTAACTAAGTTTAAAAATTATTTATTTTAATACATAGATATCCTGTACAACAATAAAAAAAACAAATTTGAAAAACTGTCAATCCACAACAAATTACATCATTTTATAGCAAGCTGAAATTATAAAAAAGGCAAAACTTTTATACACTGCCCGATAAAATTTCGACCAATCGGAAAAGAAATGACGTTACATTCGGCCAATAGAATTGCTTTCAAGCCAGCCGCTTTAAGAGGGTCCGATTTCTCGAAAAATATCAGGAAATTCATTGGAAAATGGTCGTACTTACCATCTCTCGAGTCCAGCTGGGCCCTACCCGCGATCCGCGATTGTACCGAGCAAAATGTGTAAAGGCGCACATTCACTCCCGGAGTGCAGCACGTCTGGATACAGCGCCCGAACTCAGGTACGACCTGAGCTATATGACGTGTCCAGACCCATACCGATCCTTGGTCCATTCCATCCAAAGGCAGCCTGTGTGTTGTTCGTCATCTCCTTCTTCATTAGAAGCGTGGTCCTTGGATATCCGTTCAAAATTCTACGCCAAACTTTCTAAAATATAAAATAGTTTTTCTTGCTTTTTTTTAATGGAAAACCCTGTATATTATTTTTCAATAGATGGAGAATTAGAAAATGAACATTTTTTGTATTTAGAGTATTTCAAAATTTTTAACGGTTTAATTCTCCATTTAATAAAAAAAATAATATACAGGGTGTTCCATTAAAAAAAACATCTACGTAAGTACAGTCCATCTAAAGTAAATAAGTATAGTTTTGATATCAGGAGAGTTCTTGCATGTAGGTATTATTTGTAATATTTTTTTTTTAAAGAAGTTTGAAAAAAAAGTTCCTTTGTCTCTGAAATTATCGAAATATATTTACTCATATCTTAGGATTACAATATACTATGTATAAAGTGATCTGAAAGGAAGTCAAAATGCAATAATATACAGGGTGTTCTATTTAAAAAAAAACATCCCGATTCACTCATACTTTTTTGAGCCACTCTATAGAAACTAAATTTTCTCCTGAAATACATCCTCGTACATACTTTAGAACATCTAGAAACATAAAAACCTAAGCAAAATGTCTCGAAAAGTCTCCAATAAATAAATAAAATTAATGAATTAGCAAAAAAAATATACTAGCTTCAGAAAAACTATCAATGACAATCAATATTAATTATACCTACAATATTAAGTACTAATTATTACCTTATATTAAGTTTCTAAATGTTTATTTAGTATAAATACAGGCAGATGTAATTTTTCTGCGTTTTACAGGTTCCGAAACTCTATTTAGATTATTTTATAAAAAATTTATTATATAAGTATTCTTCTATTATATAATATCTTTAAGAAAAAACATATCCATATGTGCACTACTATTAGAAATAATATTCTTCAGAAAATTGATTGAGTATAATTTATTCACTTATATAAGGTTTTTATTTATAAAATACCTACTAGGTACATAGTTATAAAAACCTTAGGTATATTAAAACACTGCAAAATTATTTGTGTAGCATATTAGAAAAAAATGTATGTAAAAGTATTTTATCTGAAAGTGCTATATAATTGTTGAGAATGGGGGCCCCTTTAAGTATACCAACACTGACTCATTCTAAAAAAACAACAAAAATAAACACATAAAAAATTTCTTTAGGAATAAAAAAAGACATTTTAAACTCTACGAAAAAAAAGGTTCAAAAATACCAAATAGCTAAATATGAAGCATAATTCTAAGTATCTTTATATTTAATATGCAATAGAGAAATATCAAGGAATATATCTATATTTCCATACACTCGATTTTGAAAAAGAAAACTATGAGTTTTTAATGATGATGTAATTGAAATACTTTAAAAGGGAAAAAACTATAGAATACATTCAAAATAATGGATACTTACATTTTCATGAGGTTAAGGAAGCTTTAAGGAACAGAATACACTCAAATAATGTCCAGAAAAATCATTTTTTCTATAGAAAATCAGGAAAAATTGTTAAGAGCGACACAGACACCTCACTAGCAACGGAAAATGTTGCACTGTCGACGTTGCCAGATTGAGCAGATTTAAAATAATGACCATATTTTTTGTGTATATATAAAACTCTGTGTCTAAAAAACTTGTTTGTTGTTATTACTGCAATTATGTGTTTATGGGTTTATCAATATTTGGTTACGGTTCAATTCGTTTTATACATAGAAAAATATTGATTTAGATTATATAGATTCTGGACTTCGCTAATATCCTGGCAACACAGGCGTAAACCGATCACAATCCATTACTAAAAATTTGAAACCTGTGGATTTGAAGAAAAGCAATATTTGTAATTTAGAAAATAATATAAAGTTCTAGATAAGGGTTCTGGAAACACTTCTATGAGCTTGTATCTTTGAATAGAACTAAAATAGACATACAATCTGGCAACATGTATGAGGTACGCACGGATATCGATATTGAAGTATCGATTTCAGTCGACCATTATTACAAAATACATCAAAGACAATTTTAGACAACCAAATATACAATTATGAAAAGTCTTTTAAATTTATTTTGAATTTTTGACAATTCTTATTTCTTTTAACCTTACTTTTGCACGCTTTTTTCAATAGAAAATAGTTGTGGAAAATAGTTTAAGAAAATGGGAAAATCTAGTGCATTTCAAATAAAATTCGACAAAAACTTTTTGGAAAGCTTATCACAAGATGAAAATAGTGGAGTTCAAAAGATAAACAGTCAGTATCATTTGGCTCTGCATCCAGCACAGTTTAACAATTTTGGACGCTCTGTAAAGGACGAATTGAACAAACAAACAGCTAAATATGACACAAAGTAATAATTACAATTTCCAGCTTAACCAATGCTTTTAAACAGATTTTTATAGATTTGAAGCTTTAATGTTAGGCTTTCAAAACGTAGTTCTGCTCTCAGATCTTGGTACAATTGGTCCGGATAATTTATATATACATTTTGATGTATGTGCAGATTTTTATATATTCACACCAAAAATAGGCGCAACTTTAAAAGGTATAAGTTCAAACATAGTACATTTAATAGTTTTAAAGTAGGTATAATTTTTTTAAGGTATTGTAACAAAATCATCAAGGGATCATGTCGGGTGTTTACTTTATAAAACATTTAATGTGTCGTTACCAAAATCCGAGTGTCCTGAAAATGAATGGATAGGTGAAAACGTTCATATAGGCAATGAAGTTGATTTTAAAATAGTTTTTGCTGATTTAGAATCCAGATTACCTTATATAAGAGGCCAGTTACTGTAAGTTCAATAATCTTAATATAGCATACTTTTAAATCATTTATTTTAATATAGATCTATTACTGACTCAAGTGAAATGCCAGAATTATTGAGTATGTTCGAGAAAACGAATGTCTTGAATAAGAAAATCAAGTTTGAGGAAGCTGATACTGAGGATGTTCCAAAAAGTAAAAAATCAAAAAAGAAAAAACGTGAATCTATCTTAGGAACTGATACAATTGAAGATGAGGTACCTAAGAAGAAAAAGAAGGGTAAAAAAGAAGCCAAGAGCCAAGCTGAGGTTAGTGAAGAAGAAATTAGTAATAAAAGAGAAAAAAGAAAGGAAAAGAAGAAAAAACAAGAAGCAGAAGAACTTGATATATCTTTAGAAGAATTAGATATTAAATCTTTATTTAATGACATTCCTATAGATGTGAGTAAATCAACAGGATCAATGGCAAACAGTGAAGACGTCAAGAAAAGAAAAAGAAGTAAATCTTTATCCTTTATATGATTTTTATCATACATAAGATATTTTGTTATAAACTGTAAATACATATTTGTTGGCCTTTCTTAAATATCAAAGTATTATAACTGAGGTATTTTTATTTTTGTATGAAGAAATAAAACAAAACTTAAAAAATGTGGAACAATTTATTTATTTTTCGATATAAAGCACTTGTTACTGGTTTCAGTTGATTCTAAAAATAGTTTAATGGTAAACAAAATATAAAATTACTTAATAGTTCTTCTTGATGCTTAATTTTTTATAAAATTAAAACTTAAGATTGAGTGGATTTTTCTTGCCTAAAACCTATAGAACTGTTCTATAATCTCACTTTTAGTCTTCATATACCCAGGCTTGGGTAGCTGGTTGCCAAGTGACCAGCTCTTTCTCATTAAACCATAAGGCAATTTCTTTATTGGCCGATTCTACAGCATCAGAACCATGGATAATATTTCTTCCAACCTATTAGAGAGATAAATAAATTTATTTAATCATATTAATTACTGAACAGTAATGTTTAATATACCTGGATACAGAGATCACCTCTGATGGTTCCAGGGGCACTGTCGGCTGGATTGGTAGCTCCAAGAAGAACACGGCCAGTCTTGACCACATTTAAACCTTCCCATACCATGGGAACAACAGGACCAGAAGACATGTATTTAACTAGACCAGGGAAGAATGGACGTCCAGCCAAGTCTGAGTAATGTTGTTTCAAAAGTTCTTCAGATGCCTGTAAAATTGAAATAAAAATGATTGAAATTATGCCTTAATTTTAGGTGCGGTGCTTGTCAGATATAACACCCTCCGAATTTTGTACTTTTTTTTATATCACTCGAAAGTATACATCGAAATAAGTATTTCAAGCCAAAAAAAAGTGTGGATGATCTATAATTTAATGAAAAAATAAACATCTAATTATTGCTACAACAGGCTACTTTCTATGCGAAAACTCCTCCAAATTTTGTCGGCGTTGCCAGATTCATTCATTTCTTGAAAGGTTCATTAAAAAAACACGTGCTGGTCCGAAGAAAACTCGCGTTAACAACAGATTATTTTAAAATCAAGAAAAGGCGATCGTCTGAGGAACTGCTCCTACCCATAGCTGATATTTTGCCTACGATATCTGACTATTTATAACTACAAAGTTGCACGAAAGAGTTTTGATTGCGTTGGTTTCAACTTGTTTGGGGGTTAATCTGTTGTTTTTTATATTTTAATACGAATCTGAGTGCTTTCAATGTCTTGATTTTAAAATAACTTATAATCTGTTCTTATCGTGACAGCGCTACTGTATAAGGATTTGTTCGTCCGGCGACCGGCACGTAAAATCAAGTGAAAGCAATCAGATTCGTATTAAAATAAAAAACAAAACAAAAGATTAACACACTCACGGAAAGGTTGAAACCAACGCTTTCAAAACTCTTTCGGTCTCAACTCTTTTTTTGTATCATGTAACGTACCGAATGATCGAAAAAAAAACGGCGTCAGCCATGGCTATGAAATGTACATCGCTGTCATTTTATAGGTAAAATTATATGGGGAATGTCATCGATCGTCATTTCCAAGCCAGCTGGACGCCGTTTTTTTTTCGATCATACGGTATTATGTATCATACAAACAAGAAATAACTTTGGCAACAATGCTTAGGCAGCTTACATCCTTAACAACAAATGGTGACAGACGGCTCCGGCGGCAAGTTTGAATCGAAAGAGTAAATTGATCAGGCAAATATTACAAAAGATATCACCAACTCTATTTTTGACTTAATGCTTCTCACTGATTAATTCTGACCTTTATATTAATAAAAAATGCATATAATCGTCATATTTTACAATAATTACACGCTTATACAACTTCACCATAACCTAAAAATGCACTTTTAATTTATTTATTTTTAAATAAATTGTGGTTCATCCGCAATTTTTTTTTGCTTAAAATTCTTATTTAAGTGTATGCTTTCGACTGATATATAAATAAATGCCAAATTCGGAGGGTGTTATATCTGACAAGCACCTTAGGTGCTATTAAATTAGTATATGCTGCAAAAAATCAGTAGGATTTGTTATCAACAAAAGAATGAATTCTTCAGGTTTCAAATGTCTTTGCCATCATGTTCAGTCAGCAGTCAGTAACCTTTGTGATTAAGGTTTGTTACTGATCTTGACCTTGCCACGCTGATAAATTACGGAAACTTAGGTTATACAACTACATAATTACGATAAGTCTGCATTTTTATAGGTTCTTAGGTAATTTTTTCTCTTTAACAAAGAAAGCATGCCAAAGATTGCATAACGAACCTTAAATTTTCCATAAATATTCAAAAATAACTACAAAATCTCGACTTACCCATACGAATTTCAGGGCGACTAGTTTAAAGCCTTTTTGTTCGAATTTCTTGATGATTTTACCGACGAGACCCCTCTGGACACCGTCAGGCTTGACCATGATAAAAGTCCTTTCTTTATTCGCAGCCATGGCTCTCGAAAATAAAGAAAAAATCGACAATAAGGTACAGACCATACAAAAGGTAAGATCAAAATGGACGAATCCTAGGAAACGTCCTTTCAAAAGCTGGCAAAAATTATCACGTGTATCGCGTGTATCGAATGCGGCTTGGCAAGTGAAACGTCATTTGTTTTTGACGTTTATATTGTCAATTGACGTGCCCGCGCTCAGTAAAAATATAAAACAATTATTTTTTTATGATTTTTATTATCTAAATTGATGGACTTCGCGAGTAATACAGTGTTAATTATGTTTACTGTAATCAATAAATACTAAATTATACAAACATAATACATACCAGTACTGGAGAAAAGCCTGTTTGTATTTAAAATATTATTTTGTATCAATACACCTAAAGTTATAATTTTTTTTACCATTTCGAATTTGATGCAATTAAAACAAACTATTTCGTGACTTAAGTTATTCTTTTGTCAAATAACAAATTATTACTGATCATACTATCAAAATCAAAAGTCCAATTATTCGCCTGGTGAGTTTATTTTGAAAAATGCTTTGGATATCTTTTACCATAAATACAAATAATAAGACGGAGCATCAAAACAAACATTGGTCATGTTGATAATATCAATTCCTAATAATATTTTTTTTAAGATGCATTAAGAAGTTATTGGTTGTCGATAGTGTTATGTTTTTAAGCTTACAGAAGATAAGAAAAGGTCATACTTATTTGCTGTTTCTTTAATTAATCTATCACTGTAATAGCAATTGAGTATAAAATTTGTATTTTTAAAGATATATAGGTACTTAACGTGTTTCTAAGTTTAAATTTATATATCCTTTGCTGTGGGATTTTAAATTTTAAGAAGAAAATATAATTATTATTTCAAAAGAGCGTCGAGCGTCTTTGTATTTATTGTATTACTGGTTGCAGAAGTACAAAAAACTTTAAAAACATAAAATGATTAAATATCAATTATTTATCACATTTTTTAGGTATTAAAGGGTAATCAGGGGGTAATACAAATACAAGGGTTAAACTTTGGTTAAACTCTTTCTCAAGCCCGTATGTAATGAGGGCCAGTTTTGTTGATTCTGGTTAATCTTCAGTTAGTGTAATTATTTTTGAGATTTTCTATGGAATATGGTTTTTTAATCCCATATCGACTGGTTACTGAATTGGACTGTTGAAGTGTTTGATGAATTATTAAATGCTTACCATATGATCGAAAAAAGGCGTCAGCCATGGAATGAAATGAAGATTGCTGATTATGTCAATTTATATAGGGAATGTCATTGATCGTGATTTCCAGCCAACTGGACGTCGTTTTTTTCGATCATACGGTATAATGAATTAGGGAATACCTGGGGAATACCAATATAACTGAATCCAAGACAGATTCTCTTCTCTTTTATGAAGGACGCGTCCAAATCAGATCCAAATGGACAAATTTACAGATAAAAAGTTTGTTGAAAGAATTAAATAGAATATTGTAACATATTAAGTATCTGAAAGTACGTACGGTATACCCTGAAAGCTCAATATTGTAGATAAATTGGCTCCCAAACCTTCGTTTTTATTATTTCAAATATGTTTCTAATTTGGGGTGTTTAACGTTAAAATAACAAATTTAAAAATCCCAGTTTAATATCGATTTTTCTAATCGAGGTCTCATTCCTACTAGAGAATTATGGGTTGCATACAAAACGATTATTTCCTTTTAAATGTATTGTTATTGTTATTGTTTTGGCCATTTTCAAGTAGAATATAAACTTTGAATATATTAAATGTGCGAAAAATGAGATTTTAATTCAGTACTTTTCTTGAAATTTTAACTTTAAAACGAGTTTTAAGTGCACCAAGCAATTTTGAGTTTCAAGTGGCCGCTCAAACTGCATAAATTCTCAGTAGTTGCCTGACGTTCCGGTACGTTTAACGTAGTACGGTACCGTACTTGCGCATCCCGAAAGTTTTTCACTCAATTCCCTCCGGTTAATAATATTCAAAACAAACTATTGTGTCGACGGTACTCTGGAGCAAATTAGGTAGGCCGTGAAAGACGAACAAAAACAAAAAAACCAAAGTGGTTCTTCGTTGAGTTTTGTGTATCGAGAAAGTGACCGTGACTCTTTTCGGCGAAGTGAAAGTTTTTCGGTGGTATTCTCATAGAACTTTGTTGCAAATAAACGTAGGTTTGGTCTTGGGATATACCATATACCAACAATATCCCACCCTTCCAGTCAGCTCTAATTAACATATTAAGTAAGCCGGACAGGTTAAGGAACTCATCAACAGGTGAGTGGATTTTTGGCTACCTGCGTTATAAGTTATAACGTACGGTCGATAGAAATACCAATTGTTGCAAAGAGGGCATGTTGCAAACTTTATATTGGATTACTATAAATAATATATGCAGTACAATGATTTTATTTGCATAATAATTGCGACCAAATGTATAAGGAATTCATTAAATTCGTTAGAACAATAATAACAGTTGTTTGGGACATTCTAATACCTAATTAAATTGATTTTTTTGTACCTATCAACATAAATTTGGTTTAATTACTTAGTCCTGTCTTTCTATTTATTAAATAACAATATATAATTCGAATATAATACTTATTGATACGTTTTCAATAAAACTTTTCAATTAAGTAGGTACAATTTTTAATTAAATTAATTAATAATAAAATTCATCTCATTGAAAATGACGGATTTGATTTTTTTTGATAAGGTTTATTTACTTTTTATAAATAGAAGTAGGTACTAATTCAACACATACCGATAAATATATTTAATTTAATTATTTAAAATAATATACCTATATCCATTATCCATACCTATAGTTATTAATTTGTTATTATATATTTTTTTGTTATTTCAAATGTTTATGACGCCGGTTGCAGAATATCCGAAAGAATATATCTGTTTATTTACAATATCAAATTTCTTTTTATATTTTTTATCTATATCCGTAAATAAAGATTTTTTTGATACATTTCCACATCAGCATATTTTTTAATAATATTTTAATACAGGGGCGTATCTAGACTACATTTTTGAAGGGGCCAGGTTACTTAATGTAATATAGGTACGCCTAAATGAAAATGAAATTGATTTGATGTATAAGTTCATATGAAATTAAATTTTAGTCATGTGATTAAGCTGGACCGGCACAGCGTTGCCCACTTTTCCATATTTTCTTTTAATCAAAATATTTTAGGAAATATAAATAAATTAATCATAAATATACAGGGTGGCGCACTTCATTCGCCTCGGTAAATTACACAAAAAAGGAAAGATGTAGAAACAAAATATTTTATGGCTATATGTGGAAAGGCAATGTGCATAATTTAAAATTATTTTGAAATGTACAGGGTGTGTCAAAACTAAGATCCATACCAAAGTTATATTTTTTCTTATGGAACACACACACACCCATATTTATTTTACATAAAAACTTCGTTAGTTCAAATGCAACAATCTTTTAAAACTTTTTTTAAATTAAGTCGAAGCAGATCTAAATGCTCTTTCAAAGTATATTAGGGTTTCCTATATAAAAAGTAATTCAAAAATTCAATTTCAATAAAATGGCAATCAAGATGGCTAGGGGCGTTATGGCAATTTTCTAGTGACAATTAGTAGCTATTTTCAAAATCGAAATTAGATTATGAGCTTTATAATTTAAGTTCATAGCAGCTTACTTTTATTTAGAAGACCTACAATTAAGTTTAATAAATAAGTATTTATTATTTTATCAAGAGAAACGAAGAAGTAGTTCCTTTATTTATATTATGATTTATAGTAGATATATCGAGAGATATATTGAATTTTCTATAAAAGAGCCAATTAACGTAAATTCATTTTCTTCACTTCCAACGACAGATTTCTTCCTCGATTTCTTCCTAATAAGTTTTTCTTATATCTCACTATCAGCTTTGTGAAATTGGAAAAGTAGTTTTTCAAAGAAACGCTTATCAAAACAATTCCCATTTGGATATCTTTGAGCATAAACCCTTCAGGCCAACAAGCAATTTTCCTCACAAAATAAAATCACTAGATGATCACTAGTAACATATCCATTCCTTCCGCCAGCAGGTACCTAAGTACTGCTTCTGCTTCATTTTTTTTTTGATAAAATAATTAATAGGTACTTAAACGTTCTCCAACCCAGTGTGAGTAGATACATATCAATGTAAAACCAGGGGTAGGGGACTCAAAAATCTCACAATCTTTTAGGATGTTTATTTCAAAATTTAATTTGATCTAAAATTGGGGCAACATTGTTTCGGGATTCATTTAATTCCCATCTTCAGGCCCAGAAAGACAAAAGTCACACCAGGAAACCATACCATATTTTTTTTGGAGTGGTATGGTTTCCTGGTGTGACTTTTGTCTTTCTGGGCCTGAAGATGGGAATTAAATGAATCCCGAAACAATGTCGCCCCAATTTTAGATCAAATTAAAGATTGTGAGTTTTTTTGAGTCTCCTACCCCTCGTTAGAGATTTTACATTAATTAATAGTTACTTATATATTTTTAGTTCATGACCTCTAGAGACTGACCTCGCCAAAATTATCATCGATTGTCATTCCCAGCCTTATTTGACGCCGTTTTTTTCGATAATACGGTAGATTAAAAAATATATTTTCTTGCAATATTTTCCACTTCCTTTGATTAACTACCTATCAATTTATTTATTCTGGACTAACTATTAATAATAATTATGTATAAACTATCATTTTTCTAAATATGATATATTATGTACGCCAATCAATTTAATTACAATACAATTATTTAGAATATATCAACCGTTCACTAATTTAATATAAAAAAACTCGATAAAAATAAGGAAATCAATCAATTAAATATAAGTAAAGAATACTTAATAAGTCTCATATTTCAATTAAAAAATTGTCATACTGAAAAGACATGTATTAATTCGTCTTTATTATTATTACGTACTTAACAGTTTAAACAATATTAAACAGATTTGTTGTACATGTTAAACATGCATAAGTTTATAACGGTCCTATTATGGGTAACAAAAGTGTTCTTTTTTGTTAAATTATTACACCAATTATGACATTAATCATTAATGACGTTTATTACGAAAGTTTCCTTAAAATTTATTACTGGATTTATAACCTACATAAATCGCAATTATTGTGATGCAAGGATGATGATTTAATTTAACAATTTTCATTAACTTTTTACTGTTTGTCGTCAACATTATGAAAGATAAGAGCTTGTTTTTTACAATAAGTATATTTACAAATACTTACATATATTGTATTTTTTTTTTTTAATTTATTGATGTTATAGTTAGTTTTAAAAAAATACGTAATACACATATTTATGTACCTAAATTCAACCATTTCCGAATTATGAAGTTTTGATTTTGAAATGTTAAATGAAAATTTAGTAATTCCTAGACTTCATATAATCTCATTTTATACATCTACTAGCGTGTACCAGCGACTTCGTTCGCGTCGAATTAATCATTTGTAATGGTGATGATAAAGCAAATCAAGAATTTCCATTAACATACAAACTGGATAAAATTTTCTCTCATTTATGTCAGCATGAGGAAAACAATATGGCGATATTATTGTATAACTTGGTAATATTTGAGGGATAGTTTCATCTCGTTGGAATTTGACTTTCGAAAAATCCGTTTGCCAAAAATAAGCTTTTTACGTCAAGCAGTTTAAGCAGAATCGTGGTTAAGAAATTTCCCAACTTTTTGGAACACCCTGTATGATTTTTTAAAAAATTTCAAAACATGTAGAAAAACCAAATAAATTATGCTTGTCCAAGCGTTTTCCCGAAAGGCTAACCGTTTTTTAAATAACAAATATTATAATATTTGAGAGGCGTTTTCACCCTCTTGGAATTTGAGATTCGACAATCCCCTCCTTATCGAACATTTACACCCCACACTCAATCCGTTTATCAAAAATCAGCTTTAACGTCAAGCAGTTTAAGCAGAATCGTGATTACTCAATGGTCATATTTTATGAAACACCCTGAATAAATTTATAAAAATCTTAAAATATGTAAAACAACAATATAAAATATACGGGTTTAAGAGTTTTTCCGAAAAACTCACCGGTTTTTAAATAAAAAATATTTTAATATTTGAGGGATAGTTTCACCCCCTTTGAATTCGAGTTTCGAAAAATCCCTTCTTATCGAACCTCTACACCCTAAAGTCAATCTGTTTTCCAAAAATCAGCTTTTTACGTCAAGCGCTTTAAGCAGGATCGTGATTAATTAATGACCAGATTTTTCAAAACACCCTGTATACATTTTTAAAAAATCTTAAAATATGTAAAAAAACAAAATAAAATATACGTGTTTAAGCGTTTTTTCGGAAACTTGACCGTTTTTTAAATAAAAAATATTGTAATATTTACTCGAATATTTGAATTTTGAAAAATCCCTTCTTATCGAACCTCTATACCCTAGAATCAACCTGTATGCCAAAATTGAGCTTCTTACGTTGAGTGGTTTGAGCAGGATCGTGATTAATCAGTATGTCAGTCACAAGGATTTTATATATTAGTATAGATAAATGCTAATTTGAAAACTAATGTCATATATTATTGAGTATCACAGTTTCCGCAGAATAGCATCGCTAAATGAAAAGGAACAGATCGAAATTAATTAAATCGAATTGTTTAAGTGATATTTTCAAAAGTCAATAACTTCGAAACGGTTGGTTTGAGGTTCATTGTGTGTATTTCGATTTTTGCTGAACTGAAATATGCAACAATATACAGGGGTGCCATTTAAAAAAAATAAATTCTGATGTGCCACGACTATATGATCGACCCTGTATACTTAAATTGATTACTCGTTAATAGGCATTTAAAACCCCTATAACTTTTGCATTCAACGTGCGGTACCTCGTATATTTTACCTAATATCGACCGTTTCCATATATATTAGCGACCCTGTATATGAAATTTGCTTAGATTAAAAATTTGCTTACATAATGGCATATACATATATACATATACTCTATATATCTACTCTTCTTATTGTGAAATCATCACAGGCAGAAGAGTTTCTTTTTCTTGATGTTGATGATAAAACACAAAACTGAATCTTACTATATGATATATAATTTTATTTCAGATGTAGAAACAAACACCTCAACGTCTATTCTTCATTAGCTACAATTCCAAACCTCATGTGAATCTTATCCCGAAAAAATCATCATTATCCATCATGCCGCATGTAACAGAAGACCCTCCAGAATCTCTAGGCTCCACAAATGGCACTCTAGACCTCAAAGCAACTAAGAAAACCGATCACGAATCGTCAGAACGGGACCCGTGTCTGGATCTGAAGCATCCAGACCAGAAAGATGCGAAATTTTACGAGAAATACGTGCAGATGGCTCAGGACAAAACAGGATTGGATCGCAAATGGGTCTGGATCGTGTTCGGACTGGCGTTTTCGGTGGTTTTGTTGGTGCTAATCGTTCTTGGACTGATCTGTGCCTGGCCTTATGTGCCGCATATGTACGATTATCCGATTTGTCGGGATCCTGAATGTTTAAGAGCTGCAGCACAGGTAAGATTATAAATTTTAAGCTTTTTTATATTTTAATGTGTTCTGACTCTACTAGTTGGCAATGGTTTATTTGAAAGTCCTATTACTTTTTCTTCCATTATTTTTCTGAGTTACACAACTGCGATGTATCGGATAGTTATACTTATTACTCGACGTTAACAATGTTAACTTCTCGACAGTTAACAATACAAAACCAGGCAAATGTTAGCATACCTTAAGTTGTCAACCTATGATTTTATCATTGTCATATGAAATTTTTGGTGCTGTACTACTACTTTATAGTACCTACCAAAGATATTTGAACTCGGAAGATACAATGATCCATTCAAAAAACGCTCTAAAACTTCATCACACATTGGTTTGCGAAAATCAACGAGTGCGAGAGAGAATGAATAGAGAAGGAAATAGGGTATCTGCGCGATGGCAACAGTGTAGGTGTGTACAAAGATTAGACGTTTGAGGTCATTAATTTCCAGTGGCGTGCCGATCGACCGACAGTATTTTAAGGAAATTAAAATAATTGTTTAATAAATTAAAAAAATAAAAATAAAACTTACATATTTGTCGCATTGTAAAAAATAAGTTGAGTTGAAAACCGGCATAATTTTAAGATGGCTTTTCACATAAGAATAACGATTAAAAAATCAATAAGTGTTTTTTTTTACTTTATTTTATTAAATAAAATATTAATTTTTAGGTGTATAGTAAATGCAGTTTCAATTTCTTGTTCCAAACCTTGTTCGTCTCCAGCAAATGAGACTCCCTCTATTAGCAATAACAAAATAAAATAATTATTTTAACCTAGTAACACAATATTTTACCAAAAACTAATATTTGTAGAGTTTACATATTTTTGATAAAAACTTTATTATTATATTATGTATATTTATTATACAGGGTGTCCCAGAAATAAGTGCAAGTATTTTAAGGGGTGGTAGATCCCGATAAAAGACACATATTTTCTCTTTGTCTTTTTTCAAATAAGTCCAAAATAACGGAGTTATTTTACTTTGAAAATTTCAAAAAAAATATATTTTTTGCTAAAATTTTGAGAATCACTGGATCTTTTCTGGATTTTCTTTCATGTAAATTTAATCTACTACCTATGTTGCCATATTATCAAGAAATTATGTTTTTTTTAACTAAAAACTTAAAAAAAAATCCAATTTTTTTTTTCAAAAAATTCCGAATTTTCAAACTTTTTTTTCGCGAAAAAACCTTATAGGCATGTTTCTGGGGTTAAACTATACTCCTAGTTAAAATACTTGCACTTATTTCTGTATATATGAATTTTACAACTATATACAATAGAAAATCAATGAATAAAATTTAAACAAACTTGTTTTCAGTATAAGAGAGATGGGAAAATAAGGATAGAATAATGGCCGATGAAGGAAAAAGGTAAACAATGGGCTCTTTCACAAAAAATAAAATACCCAATTCAGGGACAAAATCTGAAATAGTAGTAATAGAAATAAATCTATTTTCAGTATATTTATCCAAAAAAAAAATAGTTCCATAACATTGAATAATTTTTTATAGGCCCTCAAAATTGCTTTAATTTGAAATGTATGAAAAATACGCCCAATCACATTGCAGAACCACAGCAGAACCGTTCTCGTGCACCAGCCAACAACTGGCAACATTGCGATTTGATTTGACCAGCACCACCTCAACTCAAGGGCAATCAACATGATATGGGCAAGGCAAATATGGCGGCGAAGGCAGCGCATTATTAAATTGTTTACCTTTAACCTGAAAAGCCGGTAGTGGTTTCTCGTTCCGATTGCATACCAGAAATAATTAATTATCTCTAGTTTGTTGTGTTTCTGCAACACGTTTGTTTAATTCTTAGTGTTCAGTGCATGGTGTGATCAGAAAATTGTGATAAAATAACAGTGTAATAAAAATCCAAACCAGACATTCCACATAGGGAACTTCAAACTTTTGTGCTTGTCGTACTCCTCTATTATTAATTATTTTAAGGTAAGAACTAGAAATATTTATCAAGATATTACACCTAAATGAGTAAAAAGCCTTCGACGCCAGTCTGCATAGTACTTTATAATGGTTACTCTTACAATAATCAAAAGATACGTATTAAAGGGTTAACATTTTATTGTAGCATGCCTTTTACATGATCTGTTCCAAATTGTCACGGGAATTATAGAAGGGGTCCCAAGGTTTCTGCTTTTATATTCCTCAAAAATGACGAGCTTCGTAAAAAATGGTTGACAGCTATTAAAAGAAATAATTTCACTCCTACTAGTAGTTCTCGGGTAAGAAGTGCATTAAATATGCCTCAAAAAGGCCAAAAGCCCCAAAGCCTCTGTTACCCTAGTGAGGATGTAGTTATGGCTACTGCTTAGACTTACCTCACTATAAGTAAAATATTGGAAGAAGAATCAAGCCTTTTACATCAAAAAGATCACAGAAAGATATTGACAACATTGACATTTGAAAATATAAATGGCCTGGATGTAAGTCTTTTTTTAGGTCACAATTGCCCCTCACATACGTCAGAATTTATTATTAAATCGATCTTGTTCAGAATATCCAATATTTTATTGAAGAACTGTCTTTACCACAAAGGCAATGCCCTATGTAAAGAGAAAGAGTAAAGAAAACTAAGCTAAGCGTAAGTTTTACTTAGGAACCCCCAAAAAGGTATTTAGTTTTTTTTCTATATGAAATCTTGAAACGCATACCTATTATATTTTTTATTTTTTCTCACCTATATTGTAGTTTAAATTTATTCCCATTTGTGTAATGCTGCAAAACATAGAAAAAATATTCCATATTTTTTGACCCAAGCCAGTGTAGTTTATAATTCCAAGAGCATTTACCAAGGCTTTTACTAAGACAAGTAATTTCCTATACTGTCCATAATAGTATATAGTGTTTGCAATTGAATATTTAGTTTATATTGCTATTTTCTGTCATATACTTCTGGTTATTTCTTTTTCCGATGGTTTTGGACACCCTATATATGCTACCTCAAGTTTAAATATTTTAACACTACCTATTTTCTGAGAAAGCAGACTTTTTTATAAAAAGTAACTAACTGATGTTTTCATAAAAGTAATAATACAAAAATCTCCATACTTATGCGGAGAACTTTAGACTCCCTGTATATTAAAAAATTAGTGAAATATTATGTAATCTAACCCGACATTAGTGTGAAACATGTCTATTTGGAAATAAAACAGGTTTTAAAATACGCGCCAAATAAAGCACTTCTATCTCCGCCATATTGGAAAAGGTTGAATGGCTTTGTGTGGAGGTGGTGGTGGGTCAGCATGTTGGCCCGGCTGCGGCCGTGTTGCCGCTTTTCAACATGCCAGGTGTGACGTATTAAGAATAAAGTGTGGATTTTTATTCTGGGCTTTTTTGTTTTTATTTATTTTCTTAAGAACGACTTCAAATTTTTCGAAAGTGAGATAGCAGAAAATTCTAGAATTAATTGCTTTATTCAATTATGCTAATTCCAAAATATAGTGAAAGAGCCCATTGTACTATATCTTGAGTTTAAATATCTTTGGTTGGTACCTTCAAAATTGAGTTTTTGAAGGCGCTGACTGCATGTTCTGGGGACTGGAACCTTTGACCACGTAGTTCATTCTAAATTTTTGAAAAAGTAAAAAAGTTGTTAAAAAACCGATGATGTCGATTCCATTTCTAGTGGATTAATACATAGATAGCATTATTATATTATACTCCTTCCTTATAATCTTTTTGTTCAGTAATGATAAAGTTAATAAAGTTTTGTACAGTAATGTTTGAATATTTATATTTTTTTTATAGATTCTTATTAGATTACTTTAAAACATAAATATTAATATTCATTGTAGATTCGATTGAAATCTGAAAATCTCGTTAACAACCATAATTTCTTTTTCGAGTGTCTTTTCCATATGTTTAGATTTTTCTTTCAAACATCCTTATCCAAACCGTTAAGTTTTGACGTCTTTCATAACTTAAATCGCATATCAAGGAAATCTCCTAAATGAGCCGAGCCACTCAAAGCGCAGTTAAAAATAATTTCCACTTTACATTTTCCTCGATACATTTCATCTGTTACATGACAGGGAAATAAGAACGGTCATATTTTCAAAGGCCGGTTTGTTATTCTTTGGATTTGTTTAACAAGACAGACTCATATATTTCGACATTAATTGATTTTCGAAATTTCGATTTTTTTCCTTCTGTTACAGCTTCGAAAATAAATAGAATCGATTTCGTGTAAATTGCAATGGCAGTTTTGTCACTTCAGCTGCTTCAACATATAAAATATTTATTTCATGCAATGCGAATGTTTTTTGTTTATTGAAAATTTTTGAATATCAAAAATTGTCTATACATAATGTTTAATTTATATATACACACTGGCACGAAAAACGGGCGCCTTAAAATTTTGTTGTATTTTAAAGTTTTATACAGGGTGGCGCGCCTCATTCGCCTCGGTTGATTATACGCAAACGGAAAGACGTAGAAACAAAATATTTTATGAGTATATGTGGGAAGGCAATGTGCACAATTTAAAATTATTTTGAAATGTACAGGGTATATCAGAACTAAGATCCACACGAAAGTTATAATTTTTCTTATGGAACACCCGGTATTTTATATCATATTTGGATCCTCGGGAACAAAATAAGGCATTTATTATAAGAGTTAAATATGTTTACAAGCTTTGGTTTTTGAGATATTTGAAGATACTTCCGAGGATATTTCAAAATGCATGCTATAATAAAAAATATTGTCAACACTCTGTACATTTCTTTTAAGAATTAATTCTTGTGCTTACTTTTAAGCCAAAGATATAAACTTTACTGAAAAATTTGATTGCATCGTTTAATATATACAGGGGTATCAAAAATTGCTGGTCTATTTTAAATATTTATATTACATAAAAAGGTGCTCGGTGGCGTACAGGTTTTCGTCTGCCAATCTCAAGGTAGTAGGTTCGAATCCTACACCAGGCATTTCATTAGCCGACTATTTTTATTAAAATAAAAGTAGATTGGGTACCTAGGTTCTAGGTTGGCTCAGCCTTAAATGAGTACTTGGGATTCACAATTCTGAGGTAATAATAGGCGGTTGAAGCGTAGTGCTAGCCACATTACCTTCCCTGTATACCGAACGGCTCTAGCATGGCAAGCTGTATCTTGCTACACCCAAGGCTATATGCGGGAGCTATTATTATTATTATATTACATAAAAACTTCGTTATTTCAAATGCAACACCAGTATTTTTTAAAATAAATCGAAGTAGACTCAAATGCTCTTTCAAACTATATTAGGGTTTCCTATATCTATCCAGATCAGATTTTGAGTAAAGAGCAATTTTTCAATAAAATGGCAACCAAGAGGCCTAGTGTCTTCATGGCAAGTTTCTAGTGGCAGTTAGTAGGTATTTTCAAAATCGAAATAAGTTTATGGACTTTATTTAAGTTTATCTCAGTTTGCCTTTATTTAATTTACCTACAATAGTTTAATAAATAATATTTATTAAATATGTATTTATTATTTTAAAGTAGTTCTTTGATTTATTTTGAACTTTGATTTATATGAACTTTCTATTTATTCAGAAGCTGAGCTAGATAGGTATAGGGTAATCCTAATATAGTTTGAAAGAGCATTTGAATCTGCTTCGATTTACTTTAAAAAATACAGAGTCTTGCATTTGAATTAATGAAGTTTTTATACAAAATAAATCCTTAAAATAGATTGGCAACAATTCTTGGTACCCCTGTATAAATTTAAGGAAGCAATAACATTTTTCAGTAAAGTTTATTTCTCTGCCTTTAAACTCAGCACAAGAGTTAATTCTGAGAAAAGTAATGTACAGGGTGTTAATAATCTATTCTATTGCAGTATGCATATTTAAATATCTTTATATATCTCAAAAACCAAAGATTTTAAACATATTTAACATTTATAATAAATGCCTTTTTTGAGCCCAAGAATTTAAAAATGAAATAGAATACCGGGTGTTCCATAAAAAAATATAACTTTGGTATGAATCTTAGTTCTGAAACACCCTGTACCTATATTAAAAAATGATTCTAAATTGTGCACATTGCCTCCCCACATATATGCCCATAAAATATTTTGTTTCTACATCTTTCCGTTTTCGTATAATCAACCGAGGTGAATGAGGTGTGCCATCCTGTATATTGTTTACTAGTGGACCGATTTTGATGATTTTTTAAGAAATTTGTAGCTAGATCATTTGACTTTTTAGTATCTCTTTCTAAATTAAAACTGATAGTTCCTATCTGCAAATTATACGAGGAAAAACGACATTTTGATAATTTTGGTGAGAACCGGTACTTCGTGGTACCGGTTACCGGTACTGAAATCTTAGGACCGAACATCCCTAGATTAACGTAATTAGACGTAATTAAAGTACGCCCCAAATGTGATCGGAGCAATAATATTACAAACAAGTGTAACAGTGTCCAAAATAGCCAAATGCAAAACTTGCACTGTGAAATTAAAGTCATTTAAATTAATGATTTTTTTTGTGGTAGATAGTTGTAACTATACAGGGTGAGTCTTAAATAAGTGCAAATATTTTCAGGGCTGGTAGATATCGACAAAAGAAACATATTTTCTCTTTACCGTTTTTCAAATAAGTCCAAAATAACCGAGTTATTTAAGTTTGAAAATTAAAAAAAAATTGATTTTTTTTTAATTTTGAGAGCCACCGGATTTTTTCTGTAATTGCATCCCTTTGATTGCCGTAACTATGGTAATATCAGAGATGAAGAAATTATACCGTGGGAAAATTTGCGGCGAACAGGCAGTTCTAAAAAGTTTTCGAAAAATATACAGGGAAATTTAAAAGAAAATGCACGATTTTCAACATATTTTTTCAGCGAAAAAAACCTCTTAGACGTGTTCCTGGGGTCGAAATATACCACCCCTGAAAATATTTGCACTTATTTAAGACTCACCCTGTATAAAAGAAGTCTAAACTGCATTTCTTTGATCGGCATGTTCTAATAGATTGCCTTTTATTTGATTCAGATTCAAGAAGATCTCAACAGTTCCGTATCACCATGCACCAATCTTTGGGGCGCTTTTTGTTCTACGTGGTCTAAAAACAGTACTAGACCTTTGGATAGAGCCATATGGAGTCAAAAAGAGCGGCTGGTAGTGAAAGGTAGGCACAATCGTTTATTTTTATTTCCTTATCATTAAACTAGTTGAAGCCTGGCGCATCCGTCCCGACATCAGGAAAAAAATACTTATTATTTATTATTATTTTTTATTTAATTAAATTTTTTAATTAAATTAAAAACAAAAAATCCGGCGATGACAATTTTTAGAAGAGCCAATTAGCTATCTTGTAGTAAAAAGCAACTGTCTAGAGCAAGTCGTTACTTCAGTAGAGACGACACACAGATAAACATTAGCATTTTATATGCACATCGGGACAATTCAGAAGTGTGGTCTGGATTTTAACGTGTAAGACAGAGAATAATATAAATGACCGATTGACAGACAGAGAGACAGCATCAAAAGGGGCCGGTGATGGGCCGGTGCGACGGATACAGTGTTGCCGGTATTTACGGGTGTGGCCAAGGTAAAGCATAAGCATGGTGGGAGTACGCATTGAGAGGGGCGGTGCTTTATGTTAAGGTTCGTATTCACTATCCGAAAGAACAAAGGAAAGGAATGAAATTCTGTATATTTGGACAGCAAACCGAATGCATGCGGCCGTTCGCCATTCGGTTTGTTCCATCATCCGTTTTCAGTCGGTATATCCGAGACGTTCGCAAACGAATGAGAATTATAGAACCGCGCGAACAAGACTGGACGTTCGCTTGTTGGATAGTAGCATTCGTTCGTTCGGATAGTGAATACGCACCTTTATGTAGATGAAAGGGTGGGGAAAGGAAATAGATCACCTGAGATCCAAACTATTTTTGCATCATTCTTTTCGCCTAGCTGTTTCGGTGTGTATGTTAAGTGTTTCAAAAATGGCTATTTATACGACCGAAGAGAAGGTGCATATCGTTAAATGGTTTTACATTTCCTCAAGTGTGGAAGAGGTCATTGGGCGTTTTGTGTCCACCTTTCAAGATCGCCTTGTGCCACAACTATACGCAACATTGTCCATAAATTTGAACAAACAGGCTGCATTGCGGCGTGTAGAAATTGTGACGACAATAAGGAAGGCGCAGAGAAGGTGATTCCCGACAAGGAAATTAATATTTGTGCCGCGGTCGAAACAAGCGAACTTTGTTCAAGCCGAAATATAGCCGAACAAGTTGGTTGCAATGCTCGAACGGTGCGCAGGGTTTTAAAAAAGCATGGATATAAGTCCTACAAAATCAGTACCACGCAAGAAATTTTTCCCGCAGATTGTAACAGACGTCTGGAGTTTTGCGAGGCTGTAAGAGAAAGAGCCGATCGGAATAATTTATTTTTGGAAAATATATTATTCTCAGATGAAAGCTCGTTTCCCTTACGTATGTAGATTACACCTACCAAGTTTAGTACAATAACAATAATACACATTTATTAATGTAAAGGGTGTGCCATTATTAAGAGGCATCGTAAAATGTCATCATAAAAATTTTCTAGTCAATTTTTTCAACTTACAAGAAAATGAATACAAATTTAGAAATATTTTTTTTCTGTACTTGCAGAATCTGAACGAATTAGAGATCTCATTGCTACTCTAAAGTTGCCCGTATCAACTGGAAGTATCGAGTGGAAAATGAAGTTCTTTTACGAATCCTGCTTGGACGTTGGTACCTTCTACAGTAACGAGGCTCCTCTTGTTAGTATGATTACTGAGTTGGGTAAGTTTTTGACCGTCTTATTTGTAATTTTTATTATTTTAAGCTTCGTCTACACAAAGAGTTTTATCGTCTTGAAAAAACCGTCTTCTGTCTTAGCCCAGTGTAGATATAACATTTTATCTGTCAGGTAGGATTTCTATACGTCCGGTAAAAATTCCAAATTTTTTTTTGCGAAAAAAAACTCATAATCGTGTTTCTGAAGATGAAATATACTGCCCCTAAAAATATTTGCACTTATTTGAGACTCACCCTGTATATCGATCCCAAGAACACACCTAAAGCACAATTTCCTAAAGCTTTGCATAAAGTTAATAAATTACTTTTTTTTGCATAAATTTAAAAGTACATTTCGAAATTTGTTTGAAAAATTTTTATACTTAGTTAAAAAAAACATAATATTTGTATTGTGTTGACGACACTATATTGGATTGGATGAGTCCTGGGAATTTTTAGAAAAAACGGGAAATTTTGACCATCTTTGTGAGAAATTCGATTTCAGGAAGTTGGCAACACTGGTGCCATGGATGTGTTAAGCTTCATTCCGAACCTTGCAATTAGTGGAATAAATTAATGGTTTCAATTAGCGTAGAAGTTTGTTTCTTTAATTTGAATGTAAGCATTCAGAACGTTAAAATTAGTGGTAGGAATTCTCAATTAGTGGAAAAAGTTAACAAACTTTTAGCTTTTCCACTAAATATACTTCAAAATGTGCGAGGAATGTCATTTGGGATTTTGATTATCATCTGTCAAGATTAAATTTGGTTAGAAATCAAAAGTTTATTGTTTTATAAGCTAAATTTTAAGCTTTCTCTAAGGATATAACTGATTACAGCTAGCTGTTGCTAGGATATTCTATTAAAACCACTAATTTCCACTAATTGCGAGGTTCTGAATGTAGCTTTAAACCCACTAAATTTTAAATCAAGGTCTTGAAAAAATTGATTTGATCGTCGAATGCTTTCTGTGACTTTTCCTGGCCGTTTAAAAGATGCACAAATCGTATTTTGAATCATAACACATTTTTTTCAAATGGAACGAGGGTGGCTCATTAACATATTTGAAAAAAAGCATTTTTTACGAATAACTTAGTGTCACATACTTAGTAGATTTCGAGTCAAATTATCGTTATGAACACAGTCATTGTACTCTAGATTGAAATTTAAAATACGTTTTTCTTTAAAGCGCAAAGTCAAAAGTTGGCATATATGGTATGTCATTCTATTCAGAATGTCAATTTCTATCAAATAAAGTGAAAAGCCTCCCATACATTAACAGTTTATACACACAACACATTATAAGTTGGACCGATTTGATCCGTCCGAATTGTGTCGGCGAACTAGGCTCGGTACATACCAAAACCCTTGTCATTTTTGAGCTCGAATTTGGCTCTAAAAAATTCTAAATTCTTGATTAGATTTGCCTGATTAAATCGTGTTGTTAATGGGACAAAATTCGACGTTTTATAACATATTTGATCTGGCTCGCGATCTTTTGGAAGTCCTCAAAAATTTAATCAGTGGTCTTCGATTTACTCGGCATATTTGTACTCAGTGAGTTGTAAAAATGAATAACAATCGTAGAAGACGCGCTATAGCTTTTTTTGAAACAAACTCCCGATTAGCTTCGGGTATTGTTTTCCTACAATAATCAACCAACCTCTCATATGCTGTGTTTTTTAAATTTTTGTTCATGTACTCTTTGCATTTTACTTGCCACAAACATGGATAGCTTTGGTAAATGTTTACGAATTCTGTTAAACATTCTTTGGACAAATAACGTAAGTCGGCAGGCATTATTTTTAATTTTTTGATCCAAATTCAAAATTCAAAACTCAACTAAGTACTAAGTTTGAAGACTTGATACGCATCGCAAAACAGAGCCAAATATAATTTGACGGGTTTAAAAGTTTAAACCTGTGATTTCATCTGTGGGCGATACTGTACGGCCCAATTCGGGCTCGGTTTGCCACATACGAGCCCTAACAACTAAATGTTCGGACAAACAAAAATTTATTAAAAACCTTTATTTTAATTAACTGAATTATTTACATTTAAGAAATATATTAAAAATATATTAAAATCTAACATTTCTAATGAGTATTTAAATAGTTTAGTTTCTATAAACATTAAAATAAACTGTAGGCCAATAAATAAAGGAAAAGATTGCACAATATCGTGACAACTAAATGTTCGGACACTTTAAAAAAATAACTGTTCTAATGTGGCTTTACATCGGCATGAACTTTTGCAACCACTGCAAGCCTGTTTGGCATTGTTTTTATTAATGATTGACATACGCCAGAGTAAAAATTTTGCGATAATTCACTTAATATCATCGTCAAATGGGCAACGGTTTATTGGGGATCGTTGTACAATTTTTGTTTTGTTTTATGCCACATGTCGCGATAACATTAAGGTCCGGACTGTGCAAAGGCCATGAGGGAACCTTGATGTTCATGTCCCTAAACCATTTTTTAGTAGTTTTAGCCGTATGGCATGCCCCGCCATCCTGTTGAAATATAAAATTATTGTCCTGGTCTTTACCAGAACAATTGGTTACAAGGACCTTTGTCTTTCCCACTTGACACAAGAATATTTTTCAAAATTCTTTGATTTTTTGACGCATCAATTATGCCTTCTACCACCTCATACTTTTCTGGGCCTATTTTGGACATACACCTTCAAATCATAATGCCTTTAGGAAATTTCACTGTCCTTTAAGGCACTCTTTATCATCAAATAGACACTCTAGCGGTGTTCGATTATATTTATTATATCGATATTAAGGTGGCTCATGTGCATATGTAATCCGTGCACTTGCCATTTGCGATTGAAATTATTAGCGTCGGATTGGGAAATAATTAAATATTTTACCTCAATGTCATTTTTGTAGTTTGTGATATCAGAAGTTCCAATCCGACGCTGTTAATTCTAATCGCAAACTGCAAGTTCAAGGATTACATCTGCACGCATGCATGATTTTTATGAAAGATGGACAGTGGAATTTCCTAAAGACATTGTGCTTTTAGAGTTTATGTCCGCAATGGGTCTAGGAAGGTATGAGGTGGTAGAAAGGCACAACTAATGTGTCAAAACATCAAGAAATTTTGAAAAACAGTTTTGTGCGAAGTGCGAGAGATTTTTACCAGGATATGAACTTTATATTTCAATAGGATGGCGGGGCATGCCATACGGCTAAAACTACTAAAAATGGTTTAGGGACATGAACATCAAGGTCCCCTCATTGTCTTCGCATAGTCCGGACCTTAATGTTATAGAGACATGTGGCATAAAACAAAACAAAAATTGTGCCACGATCCCCAAGAAAACCGATGTTTGACGATGACGATGATATTCAGTGAATTATGGCAAAATTTTTACTCTGGCGTATGTCAATCCTTAATAAAAACAATGCCAAACAGGCTTGCAGTGGTTGCAAAAGTTCATGTCGATGTAACGCCATACGAGAACAGTTATTTTTTAAAGTGTCCGAACATTTAGTTGTCACGATATTGTGCAATATTTTTGTTTATTTATTGGCCTACAGTTTATTTTAATTTTTATAAAAACTATACTATTTAAATACTCATTAGAAATGTTACATTTTAATATATTTTTAATGTATTTCTTAAATGTAAATAATTCAGTTAATAAAAATAAAGGTTTATAATAAACTTTTGTTTGTCCGAACATTTAGTTGTTAGGGCTCGTACACACGAAGTTTTATCCGCGTATTTGTCTCGTGCCATATCAAATTGGTTAAGTGATCCGCTGGTGTATGGGGGTAGTGTATGGGGTAAAAAATACTGAGGGTATCATTTAAAAATCAAGAGAAGTGGTCATTTTCGGTGAAACAGAAAGTGACAAAAATTAACGAGTACATCAATCAATCCGATTTACATATGTCATATGCTCAGACACCGACTCTTTTTTTTTGAAAAAATAAGAAAGTTATAGGGATGAGAAACTTTTGAAAAACACCCGGTATTGCCGATACTACCGTGCTGCATTTAGATTAGAATTTAGAATGCAAATCAGAGAAATGAAATAGAGGGGGCTGACTACAACTTTTTCCTCAGACAATAGAAAGAAGAAAACCATACGTAGGTATATAATAAGTTTGCACCGGTTTTGCCATGCTTGACAAAATTCGATCCATATAAAAAAAAACATATGTCCAGGCATATCGTAATCGTCTCCCAAGCCGACGCCAGTTACATAAACGGGGTCTATTGTTTCGATTGGACCCGTATCCTGGCTCTAGACTACAATACAGGGTGGCCCAGTGTTCAGAAATGCATGGTATCATTGTTTTTTGGCTTTGTGGATTTGCTCTAGAAATATATCAATTGTTCCAGAAAATTATTGAGGGAAAAATCCAAGGGGGACTTAGTCGAGGCAGAAGGCGAACATCCTGACTGAAGAACCTAAGAGAATGGTATGGAATGACGTCAAATTGATTATTTAGAGCAGCCGCAAATAAGATCAAAATCGCCATGATGATTGCCAACCTCCGTTAGGTTAGGTTAGGTTAGGTAGGCAGTCTGCTTCGCAATCATTGGCATCGCTTCGCAATAAAATGATATTTTGGCAGTATATGTACATTTTTTACACATTTGAGACACCCCCCGAATAGGTCAGTAGATTGAGCTAAGAAATAATGGCGAATGCAGATTCTGCGGTGAAAATGGGGAAACACCAGAACACCTTATCACTGAGTGCGCCGAAACGACAACCATTGTAACTAAAGAATATACCTAGCTAGGAAAAGAATGGACTCTGCCATACTGAGAAATGGTCCTGCAGAAATGGCGCCATCTATTGAGTAGGGCTTGTTTTAAATGGATCGAAGCGCGGGTTGTTTAAATGAGCGTATTTTTGAATTTTACTCTAAAATATATAATTAAATTTTATTATTAAATCTTATTTTTTTACACAAATTCAGCAATACTAATAACAAGTATCGTTGTGATGTGTAAAAAATAAGATTTAACAGTATAA